CAAAGCTCATCTGTCTCTCATACACAATTACCACCTTTTTCTAAAATAAATTTTTGGAGGATTTCAAATGCAAAAAAAAATCAAAAGGTCAAAAGGAAAAAAAGGACAGCAAAAGAACATCAAGGAGCCCTTTACTTCCTTGATACAATCAGCAACAGTCATGGTTGCTTTGAAATAAAGAAAATGTGTCAAGGCATCTGGTTAATCGTTTTACATACTAGAGTAAGTCTGTCACTGGGGAAAAGATGCATTTTGATGATGTGTTTCTAGGACTGCACAAACCATTTCAAAGAAGTGAATCATAAAAATGTGTATGTGTGAACGTGGCACCATTTTAAAGCAGTAAGGCAGCTTCTTCCTTTGTAAGGCATGCAAAGGTTGCTCCCCATTTATCTGTGCGTTCACAGCCATACACAAGAGACACTTCTACTGGAATGGCCAGCGAAGCAGGTACAATGGCAGCAACGAGGTGTGGTTTCTGCACCCTCACCAATGTCACAGTACAATGCGGTCTTTTAGAAACACTCTGTGCTGTGTTTATTAAAGTGTCGTTCTAACTCTTGTTGAAATCATTCCATGCTAAACAATTCAGAAGTCCATTTAGCTACTCCATATGAGAGCTTTGCATTATCTGCACAGGGCCAAGTGTATCAGACATTTCTATGCCACAGTCTTTTCAGGGTTTTGACTGAATCACTTATCATGGTGTCAATAAATTCCCCAAATGCTGTCAAAGCACAGTTGAGCTTCATTAATCTATGGGCTGCTATTTTAATACCTTCCTTCTGCTACTACAGTAGGTAAGAATCCAGTAAGCTTAATGTGTACTAGGTGATGGTATACCAACTGCAACAGAATTATAAATGTTCTTCTACATATTATTCCACCCATCACAGTTAATCAAATCAACAGCAAGTACAATAAAGAAGAGGGGCTAAACATTCACACTAAGTTAAGCTTTTCTTATGATTCTTACAGGTGCTTTCTACTAAATCACTCCAAAGTTTTGTTAAAAAATTCACACTCGTAAATGTAAGGTTCCTATATATTCCTCCCCAGGCAGCATAGTCAACTACCATAAAAGTAAATATTATTGTGAGTTGCTACTGTAATATTAGCAGAAGATTCATTTGGAAAGATTAAACAAGGCTAAAATTTCATTAAATGGGATTTTATTTTAATTGAAAAAAAAACTGATTTGGCCGTACGATACACCCTACTTTATAAAGATACTGCACAATGTTGCTCGTTTTGGAGGAGTGGTCTTGCTATTATGCTTTTTGTTCGTTTTTTTGCTTTGGAATGAAGATATGAATCTCATGAACTCTGAAAATCTAATAAACTGCGCTAGAAGCTTTTGTCTATCGTAGCCAATAGGAGCACAGAAAAAAAAGTATATTCTTAATAAAGTCTAAAGTGTGAAATTTTAAATTGCATCAAAAAAGTATGCTTTCCAACTCAAATGAAGTAGCGCTTCTACTTTATGATGATCAGATTCCCTACCTGCACTGTCCCTGTTAAAGTTCACTGTTATTTTTGGAGACCTCTTGGTGAGGAATAGTGAGTCAGCAGATCTCCAAACAAGCGGAGATGACATTGTGGCCACAACAAAAAACTGGCAAGAAGGACTGGTACCACAGAACTCTCCTGGATATGGAGAGGATAGGTGATCGTCCACTTGTGTTCTAAACAGCTGCTCTTTGCAGGGGACTGCAGGATAGTAATTTCCATGGGTTTGAACACCCGGAGATGAAGGAAAGCTATCACTATCCCAACTGGTAGGAGTTGTTTTAAGGATACTGGGTTCGCTAATTTCTAATTACTTTGGGAAATTACCTAATTAACTGTCTTAAGGCTAAAAGAGATCTTCAAAACAACAAGTTTGCAGAGCTACCTGGTCAGTTTACTTTGATTCCAGAATAAAAGAAAAATTAACTTTAAGCTATAGAGTGTAAAGAACTTCTTTAAAAAATGGCAAAAGGCTATATAAGACTTTAATTTGAAAAAAAAAGTGACAAATAAATTAAGGGGCCAAACAATTTGGAATGGTAGGATTTTTGCTATAAGAGCTTGGAAATATAATTATATAAATAAATAGCACCTTCATGAGAACTAAACTTATTTAGTCTACCTTAAGTCATAACAGAAATTTGAGACTTTATGATTTCAGACCATAGGCATAAAAGGAAATATATATATATATATAAAAAGGTTGGCTTTGTTAGCATTGGGACAAAATGACAGAAAGTGGTTTTAAATTTTATCTACTCCAGGAGATTTTTGAAGACTGGAGCAGAAACTAGCAGCTACGCTACCAACACCATCTGCTTCTATGGATAGATTATTTCCAAAAGATGTTAAAGAAGAAATGCCAGATATAAAAGTGAATGGCTTGGAAGATCTACAGAAAAAGCACTGAAACACATCTCATCTAACGCGAAAATATTAGAATATAAAGAATTTGTTGAAATGCTGAAAAATTAAAAAAATGTGCCTTATAAAAGAGAGATGATAGCTAAAATGGAAATACAAATAATAAACCAAGAGAATGGTAAATCCTTACTGGATTTACAAAACAGTTTGTCAAAGCCCTGAAGAAGCCTTTGAGATGAGTATGAGGGAATGAAGTTGAAATTGCTATATGCTTGTTTAAAAAGCTGCTGCGATCATGCAGAGAAGTCCCCCCCATCACATTTCTCTTAGACCTGTACTAACAAGCATGTAAAATTTGGTGTTCCAGCTGCTGGGCTAATTGAGGCACACTCTAATATTTTCAAGGACGTGCTGACATAAAGAGGCAGCTTCACCCTCTCCCGTCTTTGAGTTTAGAAAAGCAAATGCTGAGACAGAATGGGAAAGAAGTGGAGGATATCAAGAAAAGTAAAGGCAAATGCCCCACAGAAGAGGAAGCAATGTCTACAGATTGGCAGCTAGTACAAGCAGCAAGAGGAATTTCATTCAACTGTCAGGACCACAAGTAGTTTATCTTGGTGGGAGTCCTGCCTGGAGCTTGGACCTTTGCCTTCAGTAACCATACTGAAGCAGCACTTCATCCAACTACTGCAAGAACATTTGGAGAAAGACAAAGATTGTGTGAGGGGTCCTGGGTGCTCTCTGAACTTGGCTGTTTTCTTGCAGACGTTTCATTACCCAAACTAGGTAACTGATGGCTAGCACTGAAGATGTTACCCAGTTTGGGTAATGAAATGTCTGCAAGAAAACAACCAAGCTCAGAGAGCACCAAGGACTCTTCATTTCAACCCTGAGCTACAGATATTCTCCTTTATTGGTACAAAGTTGGGAGTCTTGCCTGGAGCCTGGACCTTTGCCTGAAGCTTAGCAGCAACTGGAAAATGAGTAACCACACTGAAGCAGGGTTACTATAAAGACTTTTGAGATTTTAATTTGAACTAAGTAGTAAAAGAATAAGTATTAAAAGGATCGAATATTAAAGACATATTCACATGGCAAAGCTTATCACTTGCAAAGCTTAGAAGGATGGTGTTGATAGTGGTGTAATGCTTTAACTTTTTTTTCTTACAAACCATGTTCCAAATGTCTAAACCCATTTTCCTGTGTGACATAAGAAGACCTGTATGTAAGAGGGGCATTCCTGCTTGAATCTAGTTAAACTTGCATTACAAAAATATAAAGTCAGTTTTGTCGTCACCGCATTCTCTCTGATTTTGGTCTCCCATATTTGTATTGTTGGCAAGGCTTCATCTTTTCAATGTTAAGCCAAATGGGTTATTTGTTGCATTTCTATCCTACTAAAAGAATAACTATCAGTGGACTTTAATACATCTGAGAAGCCCCTCTTTCATAACTCAGCACTCTTAGCAGCTAACACCCTTCACAAGCTGATAGGTCAGCTTAACATAGATTTGCTTCACATTCTTATAGTTTCAGTTTCTCTTTGTCTACTTGTAGGATACAACAGTATTCTCTCTACCGTTCAGGACCCACTGTCTTCCTACTTCTCAATTTTTCCTTTTAATTTTCCTAAGGCTTATAGCCTCCTTCCGGGAGGTCCTGAAAGCTGAATCTGAGTCTCAGCACTGCATAATATCTTCTCTGTCTCTTACTTCTTGTATTCAACCTAACCCATTGGGATGGCTCATTTGTTTGAGTTTCTTTCTTAGGGAAAGCTACTTTCTCTGTCTATTGTAGCACATAATAATAATAATAATAATAATAATAATAATAATAATAATAATAATAATAATAATAGCAGTAGTAGTAGTAGTAGTAGTAGTAGTAGTAGTAATAATAATAATAATAATAATAATAATAATAATAATAATAATAATAATAATAATAATAATAATAATAATAATAATAATAATAATAATAATAAGGACCTTGGAGGTCGTCTAGTCCAACCCCCTGCTCAGGCAGGAAACACTATACCATTTCGGACAAATGGCTGTCCAGTCTCTTCTTAAAAACTTCCAGATAAAAAAACTTCCAGATCAAAACCTTCTTTGATCTGATCAATGTTCACTCTCTCTTCCCTGTGAAATGTGGCACTGGATGCTCTAATCCTCTGATTTTTATTTTTATTTTGAAAATCCACAAGTTTGAACTTGCTACAAATACATGCCAGGTTGTTTTCAGAGAGCATTAAACATAGCCAAAGCATTGCAAGTCAGGACTCTAAAGTCCTGTCTGTTCAGCCTCATTATTTTTAAAGTGATCGTCAGTAATAAACTTTGATTTCATTTGGTTTCTTGCTGAGGCTCTCAGCTTATGAGTACAGCATTGATTTAGAGGGGCATTTTGTTAAGGTTTTCCCCTACAATTCCATTGCCAAACTCCTGCTTGTTCTCCCTATTCATTCACTCATTACTGTCCACCACAATCAAGGTCCCATCTATTTTCCTGATCTATGTGGTACATGATCCCGTGTCTTAAAGTCTTATAAATACTGTATATACATACATGTGTGTATACACAAAACAATTAATGCTCATAAATCATCCTCTGTCTCTACTACTTACTTCACAGGCAAAGTTCTGTCTCCTTTCCTCCTGTCCATTTCTCTTTGGGGAACTGGGTACCAACGAAAATTGAGTTTCCAGTTGAATCCTCCATAAGTCATGTCTGATCCAGCCATGTATTCAAATGTGTCATCACTGATTACATCGATAATTGGGCATACAACAATTTTTCTATAAAACAAAAACAAATATGCAAACATATTTTCCTGTCAAGGAAATCAGTCTGGTCCAAATACACACATTTACAGAGGTAAGGCTGTATGTAAAGGGCTGAATCCCTTTTGAAATCCATTAACACCTTGATTAAATAAATACAATCAAAATCTACTCAGGAGAAGAAAACACGAAGGCAGGACACGAAGGCCTCCTTCTCCTCCCTTTCCTAAACATTGTTAACAATATAGCTGAAGATTTATCCATGCAGCCTTGGCAACTGAAACTAGGCAAAGCTCCAAAGATTGCTGCATCCGTTTGGAGATATGAACTGTGACCAAGTTTGGGGGGGGGGGGAAATACCTGCTTCCACAAGCATTTGAGTGGATTACTGTTTTTAAAATCCAGATGTATTATTCATGGCACATTAAGCACATCCACACCTTGCGAAATCCATAACATATAAGTATGCACAATTCTTTTTAGGTCTTGCTTTTCTTTTCTTTTTTTACCCCAAAGCACACATGTTTTCCTCGAGCAAAACCCAAATGGATAAGCTCAATATGCAAACTATTAATAAGAAGTCACAGATAGGAAATGGAGCAACATTCATAGTGTTTCCTACTCATCCACTATCTAAAAAGCTTTTACTTATTCTGAATTCAAAATCTAGCTATACCGATGAAGACGAAAATAGAAATAGTTTTTCACCATGTGAGGTCTATCAGCTAGCAAACAATCAGAGACATATATTTCCAAGAAACCTAATGAGAAAGGGGGGGGGGGGGAACCATAAAGGAAATTGAATATGCAGAATTCAAACTACAAATGTGGAAACAGAGATGACAGATTCAGTTCACAGTGCAATTAATGACTGGAACCACAGAAAAATACACAACAAGAAGCTAGACATCCATCTGCCAACATGATTTCATTTCACTGACTCCATCAAAGAGTCAGATTATTGCATTCAATCATCTCAATGGCCACTTCCAATTCTACGGCTCTATGAAATTATCAATATTTGAGTGGTGTATCCAATGTTTACAGAAAGCTCTTTTCAAGTACATGATGTATTGTCTTTTCACTGCAGTTCTTGTGTGGTTCTGATGCTGAGAGAACCAGGGGCAGGTTAAGCTATGATTTCTATGGGGCTTCCCTTGAGGAATGCCAATAAGCTTCATTTGGTCCAGAATGCAGCAGTGCCAGCAGTTATAGATTTGTCTCTCAGTGCCCATGTTTTGCTCTGACAACTGCACTGGCTTTTGGGTGCAATTCAAGTCTTACATGCCATGGGTCCACCTTACTCCCATTATTTCTATCCATTCCATTGGGCAGGAGGAACACGTTGCAGATTCCATCTACTAAATATTTTTATTTAGTGGGTCTCAGGAATCATGCCTTTTCCTTGATTGCTCCTACACCCGGGAACATCATACTACTAAGATTCTACTAAGACGCCCAGAGTTGTTCCGAGGGGAGATGGCAGCAAATCAGATAAATAAGTAAATATTTACTTGAAAACCTTGAAAACCTAGCTGGGAACCAGGCAACAGAAAGAGAGCATTGCTTGAAGGTAAGTGGTATGTGGCAGATTCTGGGGAGTGCTGGGCCACAGAGGCAATCATGCCATTCCCCAAGGTTCACGCCCTTTAAGGGACTGGCACGAAGCACTGCCACATAGTGCCACTAGACCAGGGGTGTCAAACTCAATTTCATTGAGGGCTGCATCAGCATTGCGGTTGCCCTTGGGGGGGCAGGGGTGTGTGGCCAGGGTGGGTGTGGCCTACTGGGTGGGTGTGGCCCACTGGGTGGGCGTGGCCAGCTCTACATCGTTCACATCAAGGGTGCCTGTGGAGGCCTGGGCAGGAGTGGGACAGATCTGAGGGTCTCTGGCAGAAGGGGGTGGGACCGGGGCAAGTGCCAAGGCATGGTCCACTGGAGGAGCCTCACTGCCTGCTGAAACCCCTCCCCCAGAGCCCATCAAGCCGGATAGGTGAAGTAGGTGAGGGCCATTTGCTGGCCACTTCCAGGCCATGGTGCATTTCTTCATTCCTCACAAAGGGTGGCACCTCCCCAGCATGCATGCAGGGGGCGGGGCTGACGCGGCAGGGGCTGGTTCCTCGCTGTTTCCAGACGGCCTTGTGGAGCTAAGACTGAATGCATTTCAGCATAGATGGCCACCACAAAATTGTACATTGGCCCCCAGCCGGCCTGGGCCAGGGCCAAGGCAGCGGGGGCCGTTCCCTCACTGTTTCCAGGATGGCTTCGTGGGCCACATGACACTACTTCGCGGGCCGCATCTGGCCCCCGGGCTTTGTATTTGACATGTCTGCACTAGACCAAGATGGGCTGGAGATAGAGAATTATTTCTCTATTGTTCAGGGGTGCACATGTGTGAGAGACACATCAACAGAATCTAAGTAGGCATTTTCCAAATTTTTGACACGCCAAGCCCAAAGGTTTCATTGCTGTAGGAATTCAACAAGCAGGACTTGAGTATAACAGCATCCTCCCAGTTGTATTTCCAAGCAACTACTTCTGATACGGCAAGTCATATGTACTGAAGATATGCTGCTATAGTAATTGCTAGAAGCTATTGATAATCTTATCCTTTTTTTAAATTCCCTTTGAAAACCATCCATATTTGTAGCCCCTATCCTATATATCACATATAAACTATGTAAAGATATGCCTTCTTTTGTGTATTCTTAGATAACTGCAGGCTGTATTATTCTGGAACTATTAACTCTTAGCAAAATCTTAATTAATGGAATAGCACAGGCTTTACTCAAGCAAATCTACATATATTTGTGTGTGAATAAAACAGCAAACAACTGTGAGAGGGAAGCACCACCTTTCCTTTTGAATGTCTCTGAACAGGTCAGAAAGCATTTCCCATGTGAGATAACAGACAAACTTCTGAGACTGTGTTTGCTCTCTGCATTTTCTACAAATTAGTATTTATGTCATCTGAGATGTTTTCTGATTATAATGGATGACTGGGCTACAGAAAACAAATGTTTAGATACTATTACATTCTTACCTCACCTTCCCTGTGGAAACCGAAAGCAACCCTCACATAAATAATTCTTAGGGAAAGCCTAACTACTGCAGAATACTTCAGTGAATGAATCCTAGATATTCCTGGTGCAAATCCATATTCTTAGAAACGATGTCACACTCGCTGTCAGAGGTCTTTCAACTGACAATCAGAAGAAAAATGGGCCCATTAAGCAGGAAGGCACTGTTTTAAAGCCATCAGCAAAGTTCAGTATGTGTGCTTCCAGATTAAACTAGCAAACTAGAACCAAACAGAATATAGCATTCTTCTGTTCTTTTATTGAAGCAAGACATTTCTGGTGGTTGAGATACAAAAAGCAGGAAAAGAGTGGTTAATAACAAACAGACCCCTAAAAAAAAAAGAGAGAGAGAGAGAGAGTGGCAGAGGCTGTCATAGTAACAGAACCTGTTCTTAATTCTCACCTGTCTTCCTTTATCCTTGCCAGCAGGGGCTCCAGCCAACCTGTAGTGCATTCACAGTGTGCATCCAAGAAAGTGATGACCCGGCCTTTAGAAGCAGCAGCACCTCTAAGCCGAGCTCGGATCAGTCCCGACCGTTGTTCCATTCTAATAATTTTTACCGGCACTTGCAAATTTCTTACATAATTCTCTAATGGGAGCTTCAGAAAATCTGCCAAATGCCATTAAGAAAGAAAATACAACACAGTTTGTTCAAGCTAAACTCCGAGATTAAAAAACAACAACACACCAATATTCATAAAATGGAATGGAATGGAATGGAATGGAATGGAATAGAATAGAATAGAATAGAATAGAATAGAATAGAATAGAATAGAATAAGAATCTACGAGCTGACTGCGTTCTCCTTTCCATAAAAAAATAATCAAAAAGGTCAAAAGTTCTTGAATACAGAGAAAAAAACCCAACAAAAAGAGAGAGAATTTGTTGCTTTATAAAATACAAAAAGGGAAAGAACAAGGGGGGGGGGAGGGAAAAATAGGAAACCAAGACCACTGAACTAAATAATATCATTCTTTATTTTACAGGATCTTAAGAACACAGTAATCTATATATTATTGCATGAAAATAAAGCACCATTTGGACAAACAGAACATCGTCTATGTTAAAAAGATATCTTGCAGCCACAAATCCCAACACCTTCTTATTCTCATGTGGTTCATGGGTCAATGTGAGTCCACAGAGCATGGAAGATCATTTCATTGCCTACAGAATGTTCTCACTTCAGATGGTGGCACAGAGGGAAGGCATTCTATTTCTGGATTAGGATCAATCATGAGCCCTCTAGAGTATATTTTGCAGCCCACCTGAAACAAGCAGCCACTACTACTCAGCCTGATTCTAACTTCTTTAGCAATTTAGAAAGAAAATATTCTTCCAGGATACGATAACATAATGATATAGCAGGGCAAATGAAATAAACAGATTACTGTAAAATGAATTAAAAGATTCTGACTGCTGCACTATTTGTAGACTATTAAAAAAAAACCACACATCATTATCTCATGAACAGGACAATCCTAAAACATATTTCAGGGAACAAGCCTCATTGAACTTAATGAGATTGCTGAATAAAGTGGTACAGGATTATGCTATAAAATACTCCTCTTGTTTTAAAAGTCAAATAAACATGTTATTTAAGCACATAATAAAAAGCAGCCCAACCTTAAAGAGCCAAAAAAAGTAGCAGCAATGTCATCATCATACTTTCAAATATTTTCTTAATAATATTTTCAATGTGCACCAAAAGGATCCAACTCCATATGGAAAAACTGACTTTCTGGGAAGGGAATTCTGAAATTTAGGAGCAATTCCTCAAAATCGGGGGGTCTTCAAACTTGGCCCTTTTATGACTTGTGGACTTCAGCTTCCAGAATTCCTCAGCCAGCACGCTGGCTGAGGAATTCTGGGAGTTAAAGTCCACAAGTCATAAAAGGACCAAGTTTGAAGACCCCTGCTCAAAATGATTGCAAGCATGGACAATTTCTATTGGCTTGAAGGATATAGCAGCCTTTGGATAGGATCAGAACATATTTTTGGGGAAGATCACAGAAGCAGTACAATGGACTCCTTAAGTCTTTGCAAGATTGAAGGCATCCATTTTGTTTTTAGCCCTCATACCATTCCCTACTAAAATGATTAACCTCTGTCACTTTTTGTGGCTCTGGGGACAGGATTTTAATAGACCACATGTGGAACCATGGGCACACTTTTCATAGCCCTCACTTAATAGCATGTGTGAACCCAGCTTCTGCCTCTTATTCAGTAGCAGAAAACTGTATCTCGGTTCCATTGTGAAAAGCAGAATCTGACTGAAGATTTTTTCATGCTGTTAGAACGCCACAGGCTTAAAGACTGAAAGGAAGCATCCATTGTTCTTCCTGAGATAATAATCAGTTAGCTGCATTCAGATGCCATGATAAAAAAACAGTTTCTCTTTCAGGCAGGGAACTTTTTTTTATTGTTATGAAGAGAATGAACCAACGTATGCATTGCGCTCACGTTTTCTCATCTTGGAAGTACAGCTTCAGTGCACTTTACTTCTGCTATTAACCCTGCTAATTATGGCTTAATCAACACCCCATGATTAAGCAAGCCATGGCTAGGCTGCCACTACATGCTCTGAAGTTTTGAAAAAGAATGGAATTCTTGAGATAAGGTCTTAACAAAGATTGTATAATATTCAATTCACCACAGCTTCTTTCAAAGCAAAGGCAATCCCAATTTCACATGAATAAATGATCAGTAAGGGATCTGTTAAAGTGCCCTCAACAGGCACATCAAATAAAATTAATCTAAAGTCCACTAGATATCTTGTATTTCTATTCCAATGCTCTCCAACTAGGAGAGTAAATTTGGTGGGCTGGGAAGGTTGAACAAGACAAAGGCATCTCTACATTCTGACCAAATTCTTCAGCTGAACAAGATAAAAAATGTTTTAGCAATAGCAATTAGATTTATATACCTCTTCATAGTGCTTTACAGCCCTCTTTAAGTGGTTTACAGAGTCAACATATTGCCCCCCAACAATCTGGGTCCTCATTTTACTGACCTCGGAAGGATGGAAGGCTGAGTCAACCTTAAGCCAGTGAGGCTCGAACTCCTGGCTGTGACGAGAGTTTGCCTGCAATATTACATTCTAACCACTGTGCCACCATGGCTCCTGTTTTGTGACTTGTTCTCAGGGAATCCCATGTAATTTCTCACTTGAGATTTAAGAAAAACCTGCTCTGCTCCATCAATATACATTCTCTTTGCATTTTGTAATCATTTGTCCACAACGGTAAAATAAGCTCTAAAATTGTGTTTTCCTCCACACTGCTCTAGTCATTCTCTTCAGAAAAATCCTGGGTAATGCCATTACAGGATTTGTTAAGTAGTATTAAAGAAATGATACAAAGAAAGAAAAGCTATCCCTTGTCCACAATACTGTTCAAATGTTAATGAGTTTTATTTTTGGACATTCTTACCTCTTTCACTGGCATCGTCTACCAAGATGATCTCAGAAAGTAAGTAGTGCGGAGACCGATTCATAACACTGTAAATAGTACGAAGCAAAGTACTCCAGGCTTCATTATGAAACACTATGACCACACTTGTGGTGGGTAACTCATCAGGGTAGACTTTTGTCTTACATCTGTCAAATGAAAAAAAAAGAAGAAAAAAAGAAGCATCAGAAAATGTATTCAGAAATTGTGGCACTAAATAACAATGTACAAATTAATCAGGTTTCATAGGCTAGGCCTCAATCTTCCATACAGAAAGGGTGAAAGTAGGATATTCATCTTTCAAATCTGTAAAAAGATATACCTGCTAACAAAAAAAGGGATAAAGGCACTTAAAGTGATATTAATTTTAAGGTTTGTGAAAACTGCCTCATTAATATGCTTTATTATTGGTAAATGCTGAATATAAGGATTCACTGTTTTTAAATTAATGACATAATATGAAATGAAAAACCTTCAGCACTAAATGCCACAGTCTAAGAGAAGCAAGAGAATAAATGGAAACATGTGCTTCCTCTACATTATTATTTATTATTATTATTTATTAAACTTATATGCCGCCCTTCTCCCCACAGGACTCAGGGCGGCTCACAGCATATTAAAACAGTACAAAGCACTATCCCCAATAAAAACCAATTAATTATTCTTTCTTGAAGAATATGGACAAACAAAAATATCTGTATGTATAAACATATATCTGCCCAAGACAATATGCTTCAGCATTGCTCTCTTGCCTCTCACCTTCTAAAAATCAATCTTCTCAAAATTTGTTCAATGTGTCTTTGGTTGCTCACAACCGAAGACAATGAGAGGGGCATTGAACACACAAAAATCAAAGATGAATCAACAATTACTCAAAATAAATCCCATGATGGAAAGAGCATATTCATATGCTATATGTACGAAATTAGGTTCTGTATAAATACATACTATGTAGTCAGCCATGGTGTATGTTGAAATAACACTGTATGAGACTTGGATCCTGTCCTTCTCCAGCATTATTTGATGAAAAGAAATAATGAAATCAAAAGACCTGAAATGGATAATTTATGCCACAAAGTCCAACACCCTGCTCAGTGAGGGACCAAAATTAAAGCATCCCAAACTCTGGAACTGTAATTTTGATTCTCTTCCTTGTGGAAAAGCTGCTTCTTCCATCAGAGTCAGAAGCCTTTGTTTCTTTTTCACATTGAGTGGTTTTTGTGCCATGTCCAAAACATAGCAGTTTTCCACAAGATGTAGGGTATCCTGAGTTTGTTGCCTTTATTTCCAAGTTGGTGGCATTCTGGTAACATTATAACTTACAAGGTTAGTTCTTAGATTAGAGATCTTTGCACTGAATAATATGACCAACAACTCAGCCTTTAGAGAAACTTATGGCAAACTGGCCAAAGACAGGTAGAATCCTCACCATTAGCCACTAATGTCCCTCAGTAAGATTGATAACCTTTTTTATCTTCTTTTACCTTCCTTCTAACACAGTGGTTCTCAACCTGTGGGTCGGGACCCCATTTGGGGTCGATCGACCATTTCATGGGGGTCGCCAAGCAAGGCTGTCCGCCATTTTTTTTGTCCACCATTTTTCCCCCCTTTTCCAGCGGGTGCCTTACCTCCCTTGGGCTGGGCCAGCTGGTGGTCGGCCTGCTCCGTCTCTGCCGCTTGCCAGCTACGCCTCGGCCAGCGCAGGGGGCAGAACCACGCATGCGCGGCGCTCCCGGGCAGGGAAAGTTGACTTAGAACCGGTTGGGTAGTCCTCGACTTACGACCGGTTTAGTCCTCGACTTATGACCGGTTGGGGTCGCGGCATTAAAAAGGTTGAGAACCACTGTTCTAACAACTGAGATGTGAAAGCCTCAACTGGCCAAAGCCGTAATGGGCAGTGGAAGCAAATATCTATGATTCAAATGTGATAGCAACTCTACCATAGGAAATCGAAGAGAATATACAATAACAAGCATTAATTCATAACATGAAATAAAAATAGATTTTTTTTATTAAAAAAAAACTAAGGGAGATAATATAATAGATCAAAATGAAGGTGGACAGATCTTGTAGAGTAGAATTGATGAACATATGCAAGAACTGAATAAAAAAGTTAAATGTACTTTAGAAACGATTAATTGGCGTCATCTAGATTATTGTGGGTGTCTTTAAAAATAGGAACCCATAGGCTGGTGATAATTTCCTGTGACACTCTAGTGAATGATGATAATGGAAGAATCAGAAAGGACCTCTTGGGAAAGCTCTGCACTTTATAAATGAAAGAAACCCAGGGGAAAAAGTTATTTTGCTAAGTGGCATGAATGGATGGATGGGAATGAGACAAGTGAATACAGAAAAAGTGTCTGACACATTAGAAGATCAAATAATGAAAATGTTAAAGTGAAAATATATATTTAAAGTCTGTTTTAAGCGTAAGCCTACTCATATATTGGCACAGAAGAGAAACAAGTACAGGCGGTCCTTGACCTACGACCAGAGTTGACCCCCAAATTTCCGCTGCTAAGCCAAACAGTTGTTAAAAGTGAGTTTTGCCCCGTTTTATGACCTTTCTTGCCACAGTTGTTAAGTGAACCACTGCAGTTGTGAAGTTAGTAACATGGTTGTTAAGTGAATCTGGCTTCCCAATTGATTTTGCTTTTCAGGTCACTAAAGATGATCATATGACCCTGGGATACTGCAACCGTCATAAACATGAGTCAATTGCCAAGCATATGAATTTTGATCATGTGACTACAGGGATGCTGCAACAGTTGTAACTGTGAAAAATGGTCATAAGTCACTTTTTTTTAGTACTATTGTAGCTTCAAACAGTCACTAAGTGAATTGTTGTAAGCCAAATTCACTTAACAATCCAGGATTACCTGTAACTGATGGATTTTACTGTTCATGATGAACAAGTGAAATAATTAGTGGAAGGATAAAATGATGATAGATTCTAAATGTGGGACTTTGGGCTAAGGGGAAGGCTGATCAGAGGAGATCCACTCTTATAGCTTCTCTGGTACCAATGCAACATCTTTCAACCTTCTGTCTACTGTTCCATTGTTCAGTGTTCCCACAATGAGGATAGCAAAAAAAATTTGCTCTGTGGTGGAGAGGGGGTCGCTTTGGCTTAGCCTTAAATCTTAAAAGTTTCCTGAAATGGGGAAGAAATGTGCCCAGCCAATGCGGAGAGAAAATACAAATTGGCAGCAAGAGAATGGAGAAAACAGAAATCCTGACAGAGTAAGACTAAGACGAGTGTGCTTCCATACCAAACACTGCCTGGAAAGTAAGACGTACTGTATGATCTTTACACCTGAGGTATTTGTAAAAGATAGAAGGCTTTAATGGAAATTACAGCTCCCCAAATTCAGCAACTCTCTTCTGTGCTATACAGTACCAGGATCTTGAATCCGAATGTTATGGCCTTAGATCCTGAAATATTTATTCTGATTGATTTACAACTAGAGGAGCTATATAAAAATACTTCCACAGTTTATATTAATTAAAATAGCAGGAAAAAAAACCTATTTTCTGTGATTTAAAAAAGTGCTCATTAAAAGAAAGATGATCGCTATTATAGAAGAAATAATAGCAGTGAAAACAGAGAAAGCTTTTCCTCTATACAATATATATATTGTATGACCATAAACACTTTCTTTGTGATCTTACTCCTTTCAGAATTGAATGGATGTTTTTAACCAATGCAAGAACACCACATCAATAGAAGCCAGGAACAAGGAGACACCAATGACTATAGGTAATTGCAGCAGCAGTATTTATCTGTCTCTGTTCAGAAACAGAACAAGCATTGTTGAAAAGTAATGAGATAATTCATTGGTTAATGCTGATCGCACTGCGTTTGGAAAGTCAGCCACAGTAATCAAAATTATGGCCCTAAATAAAAGCTGTGTGTACTTAAGGGATTCCTTTTGTGGCGTCTAATCTGCTACAATGCCAGCAATGGGTTTTTAGAACCTTAAAAAAAATGTACCATAATGCTGTCGACTATTTAAGTCTCTTGCCAATATATAATATAGCTAATTTATTCTGAGCAAAAGACCCACTCCATGACGACATCTGCTCTTGAAATTTGACTCACCACAACCCTGTTAGTCTTCAGGAAGGCCCTGAAGACTCTAATGAACCTTTGGATGTGGGACTAAGATGCTAGAGAAGTAAGATGTATTACCAAGATGTTGGCATACCCCAACTGTGCGTTTGACTATTATGTTTTATTTTAATTCTGATTTGTTGTTGTTGTTGTTGTTGTATGCCACCTAGAGTCACTCTTTCGTGAGCTGGGTGGCCATGCAATCCATATACGGTAAATAAATCCTATGTAATATTTTCAGGAGTATGCAGGGGTATTGATGGGGGAGACCATATGATAAAGCCTCATCCCTTTGTATGTGTAACAATGTTTCACACATATACAAATGAATGGGACTTCAATCACCTCCATCATATTCTCCTTTTGCTCCCTCTTATTATGGATGCCTCTCCTTCTTTTCTTCTCTTCAATGGCTTGCTTAATTTTGATATCTTTAAAAGTCTCATCTACTCAAAAATCAAGGATTCATGAATGATACTCCTTCAGATACTGATATAAATGAGAGTTAAGCTAGATTTAGCCATTGTTAATGATGTTACAACAAATGTAAATAAAAAAGATTGCTAAAGGCAGTGAAGAATTTATCCACACAGCATTCTTTCCATTCTTTCCACTTGCTCTTTTCTGAGGACAACAACCTTGCATCTCATAAGCAGGCTGCTCAGGCTGAAATTGGTCCAAAGTGCTCCAGCTTGAAATAAAGCAGAGGATCTCCCACAAATATATTTCTAATGCAAAGGAGGAGGATCCTTTGGAGATGGGCAATCTCCTCTAATTGACCTTCTGGAGGATCACTTTCTTCTATAATATAACTAAAGCTTCTATACCTCCATGGCCATTTCTGATGTGGCTATGAGAAAGACTGGACCTATCTCATGCAGCTATGAGTGTGTGTGTGTGTGTGTGTGTGTGTGTGTGTGTGTGTGTGTCTTGGTCAAGAAGATTATCAATTGTGGAAAAGAGCAAATATGGGCCTCCACATGAACAACATTCCCATTGATAAACAGGAAAAAGAACATTTTTTCTTAGAGTGAAGAGGAAGGGGCAAAAATGTGCCGTAGAGCAGAGGTCCCCAACCTTCTGGGCACCAGGGACTGGTTCCGTGGAGAAAGGTTTTTCCGTGGACTGGAGAGTGCATGGTTTTGTGTGCTACCTGCATCCCGCGGATGAGGCTTTGCTTGTTTGTGCGGACCAGTTGCTGGCATGCCGCAGTCCAGTACTGGTCCATGAACCAGGGGTTGGAGACCCCTGCTGTAGAGGCTTCACCTTTGTACTATGCCATCTGGTACATGAGATGTGCATGTGTTCAGTTAAATGGGAAAGGAGAATGGAATTGGACCTGTACAGGAAACAGCATGCGTATATGCAATTACAGTCACAGCCTGTTCAAAATTTGCTTAATCCAGAAATGCAGGCGCATCTTGAGCTCTGGAACCACAGGCATGCAAAGTGTTGCTGTGTTGAGTGAAGCTGAATTTAAAGGAACATAAGGTCAGGCCTTACGCTAAATCTCATCTGGGAAATCTCAAATTTGATCACGTATCTCTGAGCTGAGCTGATCTGCAGTATATATGGACATTGGCTGTGGGAAGAGATACATTTGGAAAGGCTGAAGATACATGAATGCAACTACAATCAGATTTGCGGAAGGAAGAAGGATTCTTCAGATAAGCCCCCTCCAACCTTCTTTCAGTGAAAGAAGAAGAGGGGAGGGAACAGGAGAGACATCCTACTTGTGGCGCAAACCAGTTTTCTCAATGATAAAGTGGGGAGGGAGGGAGGGAGGAGCACCTTCTTCACTTCCCTCCTGCCTCTTGCTAATGTCTTGCTTCAAAAACAACTTTGGCAGCTGGGATGCAGCTACCTAAAAGGAGATAAAAAAGAGTTCCAAGGTGCATCTGATTCTCACCTACCACATACTGAACTGTGTGTGGGCAGCAACACTATCATCCTTACCGCTGAAGCATGGCAAAAGAAGCAGCTGTTTAAATATCACTATACTTTTGACCTGTCTCTCAAGATGCCCCCACCCTCTGGAACGAACTACCCCCCGAGATCCGGACGATTCCGGATCTCCTTACCTTCCGCCGTGCCCTCAAGACATGGCTTTTCCAGCAAGCGGGCCTGACCTAGGGAGGATTTTATTTAGGGTGATTTTAAAAATAATTTTAAATAGAAACACAGCTTCTAATATTCGGTTTTTTAATCTGGTTTTATAGG